AAGCCACCCCAGCAGACCTCAATCTAGACTGCTTCTTTTTGTTTCAGGATGTTCTGTTTCACAGGGAGGCAGGGGCTGGATGCAATCTCTTGACCTCCCTACTGGGAGCCATTTGGTTTCTGGACTCCTCCAGGGGTCCACACAAAGGCTGATGGAAAGCAAGGCTCTCCTGCAGAGTGGGCCCTGGGCCCAGCTGTCTTTCAAGCAGTCAGAGGAGAAGTTTGGTTCCTACCCAGGGCAAGATCTCTGAGAAAGCAGAGCTTTGCCTAGCTACCTTCTTCTGGGTTGTGCTTTCCACTGGAATTTGCTGCCTGGAGAGACACTTATTTATTTTCTGAAAGTTGTCAGGCTTAGTTCCGGGATGACAGTGGCTAATCTGTGTTTTTTTACGAATGATAAAAGACCTGAGCTTCAGACTTAATTCTTGACTTTTATTTTCAGCACAACTGTATTTTGTCTCTTTTCCCTCATACATACATTGAGGCTCTGTGGGATTTACACTTCCCTGGTAAGGACAGGAATCGTTCTCATGTCTGGGCAGCAGTCTCATGCCAAATAGTGTTCTCTGCCTTGCCTCCCCAAAAACCCATTAAGGTGCTCTTGCTAGCATCTGTCTAACTTTCTGGCACTTTCACAGTACTCTATCAAAGAGTTTTTGTGCTTCACCCCAGAAGCAGCTACACATTCAGGATATTTCCAATCCTAATGTCTGTGAATCAAGTTTTCTCTTTGAGCAGACAAGCCAATCTTTCCCTCTCATGTATGACCTTACAAGACACACTAGCAAGCCCTCCCACAGCTTGCTATGAATCTGGCTGAAGAGCTGCTTCTAAAAGAAGCCCCCTGCTTCTTTCTCTCTCATCCCCAAGTCTGTGGGCCTGGAGGGGAAAAGAAATACAACCCACCTAACAGATTTTGGGATTGCAGATGCCAAGAAACAGATAGAGGAATGTGCTTACCCCACGCCAGTGTCTGGATCTTTGCAGAAGGTATCAGCGTCAACGCGAACAGGGCCCCCAGGTGCAGCAGGCTCATGAGGATGATGTTCCTCCAGACATATCGCAGCGGGGGCTTGGGGCCCTCCTTCTCCCGGTAGGTCTCATCAAAGATATCGTCTATCATGCCCCGGTCTCCTGCCAAGTCCTCATGATTGAGTAAGTCCTTCTCCATGACCGCATTTCCATTCCTGGTCACCCGGGAGGTGACTGTGCCACCAGCGGAGGTGTTGGAGGTGGAGGAGAACTCCTTGAAGAGGTAGCAATGCATATTCGCAAGAAAGGGAAGAAGGGAAAACAAAATAAGAAGTTGGTGGATATCAATTCAAGAAATAGAAACACATGCATCTAGGCTGGCAGTGTAAAGATTGACAGCCTGTAGTTTCCCTGGAAGGCTCCATTCTTTCAGCTGAGCTCTTGGCACAAAGAAAAGCCTGCTCTGGCCACATGGAGTCATGGCCTGAGAGGACGGGGACCTGGTCTTCCTAAAGAGGAGGTGGATGGTAGGTAAGGTGCCAAAAGTAAAAAAAAATACTTGAAAGCCAGTCTCTTTTCCACCAGTAGCTTTGGTGAGATTATTTGCAGTCTGCAAGAATTTTTATTTTCTTTCAGTTTGATTAGTGGATGTTTTTTGGTAGTTTGTGGTCTGGCTTGTGCATAAGCAGACAACAATAAAGGAAATCTTGTGAATGGACAAAGAGGTGGGAGATAAATATGTTCTGAAACACAGTTTTGTAATAAATCAGTGGGCTGCTCCTGATATCCTAATTGTCACCCCACCTGGGATCACAGGGCAATATCAGGAAGATCCACAGGGGGATTCCTCTGTGGTGCCTCCTTATCTCCCTGCCTTCCAAGATGGGATGTGGCAAGACCAACATGCTTGAAGATCAGTGGATGGAGGCAATCAGGTGAGGTACTTCTAGTCAGAACTGCAGCTACTTATCCTGTGCCTGCTGCTAAGACTCTTATCCCTCTCTCATTTCCCACCCACAAGCAAACTGAGGCAAGGGAAGACAATCCTCTGATCTATGGCCACCAGCGTGCAGAGAGGAAGTTTTAAGCGGCAAAGTTGGCTCAGCTTGGCTCCTGGCTCCCTTCTGTAACTATGACACAACATTCCCTCAGAACATGCTTGTTTGCCCTGGCTGAGTGACAGCCAGCCCGATCAGGCATGCATGACAAAAGGAGCAGGCAGGACTGACCCTAATGAGACAGGTCACTGAACCCTGAATCACCGATTTCCATCTCCATCCAGCCAGCGTGTGCTTGCTGGTACTCGCAGCCCTTTGTCAGCCCCAAGCCCAAGTGTCCAACGTGGCCCAACCCTGGCAGTGCCAAGCATGTGGAATGCAAGTGGTGTGTCCTGCACACATCACCCCATCCCCTGCCCCCTGGGACACATCCCTCTGCCACCCAGACTGCTGCCTCCATGAGTGAAGGGGCACAAGAGCTCTGCCAGCAGGAGCAGGAGAGCTGAGGCAGCATGGCCAAGCTGGGAAACCTCCTTTCCCAATAGGAATCTCTTCTGAATTAACAGCAGATTCCCACTCAGGTGTTCAGGATTCATACAAGACCACCATCCTGCCATGGCCTAGTTTCCTGAGGGAGGCATTAAAATCAGGCCAGGCGGCTTACGTGGCCACCCCAACTCCTCCCTTTCCCAAGGGTTGAAACTAGAGGGTTACTGACATACCTTCCGATGGGGAGGAGCTGCCAAGGCTGACAGATTCCCCACATTTGGGAAGTAAAATGATCTCAACAGAGGAGTGCTTCTAGTTTTTCCTTGGGGAATCAAAGGTTTGAAAGGAAAAAAACTGGACGCAGAGTATCCTGCTGCCTTCACTGCATGCAGACAAGCTGCTGAGCTTGGAACTGGCTCTTCTGCATCCTGGCTATAGTCTGTCTCTGCCTGCTTTCCTAGTTAATGTTTTGAGGTATGATACTCTCATCAGCTGGAGAATTTAGAGGTAATCACCACACCAAAAGAGCCATGAGAAATAGCCTCTAATCCAGAGATTAGGCAAGGAGAAGTCCTACCCATTCCCAAGTGTTAGATATTTTCATTTAGCATTTTGGCAGAAAGGTACAATTTTCTTTCTTGGCTGCAAGACAATATACCAAAAAGACCCAGACTTGTCTATGCAGGAAAAATTCCCAGCAGTGATTGGTGGTATAATTAGACAGGTAACACACCCCACATGGACATGCTGCTTCCAGAGTAAGAATGTGGGGTTGGAGTTGCATTTTTCTCCTCCGTGGTCACTTATGTCACTGTCAAAGTTACACACGGGCAGAGAAGGAGGAGGAAGAGCGCAAAGGAAACAGCAGAGAGGAAAAAAAATCTCTTCTGGAGTTGTAGTAGCCACATGAGGAATTTTACCAGCATACTTACGTTGCTGGAATTACACTGATACAATCAGAGTGGTCATTTCTCACATGTAAACTAACCTTGAACAAAAGGGCTATAAAGCAGCTGTGAAACAGCTCCACCGTTACAGATTTAGTGGGAGGAGCATGGGGGGAAGAGGGAGGGAGAGAGGTAGAAAGGGGGGAAACAGGAAAAAAAGAGGATTTTTATCCCCTCATGACCGTAGTGGTTCCTACTGAGGAAAATGGGATGGAGATTGATCTGGGATCTAGGGCTGAGAGAGGGAGGAGGCCAGCTAAACAATTTTCATTAGCTTTCCCTCATTTCTGAATGACTTTGCAGCTCTCATCTGTAGAACAGATGTTTCCCCATCTACACCACCACCCCCCAACACTGAACATGCTATAGGTGACCCTGGCATCCAGCCAGCTTATACAACCAAGTGCAGCTCAGAGGTTCCTGCACCGGGCACCGTGTACAGGCCCCAGGGCACTGAATCTTGGGTCCAGTATATTTGAATATGCCCAGCATGACCCAGGGACAGGATTCTTTCCAGCTTCCAGGATATGACCCAAATACATGCCAAAACCATGAAACATGGTTTGAGCACACTGCCTTTGACATCCATTTTGGGAGGTGAGAAAAGTAAAGTTCTTTACATCACAGCATCCCTGGAAGGTCATGGCACCTGCACAAAAGCACCAAGGGAGACCCTGGGTGCTGGTGACAGGAAAAGAGCAGGGGTATGATTTACATCCACTTCTAGGCATTGGCAGAGGAGGGAAGGATGGGAAGGTGAGAGCACAAACACCAGAATCAAGTGCCTGCCTCCTCCCCTTGGGCAAAGGGTGGCTGCTGTAAGGGTCAAAAATAAGAATGAAAATCTTTAAAAATCCAACAGCTCCACATGTCTTACTGGTGTCAGGTTATTATTCAGACCTTCTTATGCCAAAAATGGGCACTGTCCCTATTGCATGCTTGCTTGGCTCAAGCAATGCAGACACAGTCATTCATTTCATCTGGGCGGCCGGCTTTCACCTTGCGTCTGTCCTAGAGAATCTTCCTGCTGCAGTATTTGGTTTTAAAACACTGCAAGTAAAACCCCTTTCTTATTAGAAATAAAATGAATTAAGAAATTTTTTTAAAATCCCAGTCTGAGTATTATCAAAAAAACTTATGACTTCTTGGCACAAACGATCTTCTTGAATAGCCCTTCATGCTATTCAAACACCCAGCATGTTTTGATGGTTGCTTTCAAAATAAACCTGTATTTTACGCTCAGTCTACCTCAGGGCACAGGATCCAGGAAGATCTCCTCAAAGGCGGATGTCTCCGCTTCAACCATGGGCTCCCCACCGGGCTTGGGGGATGTCTTAAGTTACCACTGAAGCCCTTCGCGTGACGGCTGCGAAGCGGTGCGAGAGGACACGGGCACACACGTGTGAATACGTGTGTGTGTGCACGCACAGACACGCGTGGGTGCCCAGACCTTCCCCAGCACAGCAGCAGCGCAGCGCTGTCGGAGCCGCGGAGATGAAGGAGGAAGGGGCGAGGGGAAGACAAAGCACCCGCACCCCGGCACCCCGCTTACCTCCTCCTGCAGCAAGTGCGCAGGCATGGGCGGCCCTGTCTCTGCTCCTCGGCGGCGGTACGCGGGCGCGCAGCTCCCCGGCGCTGGCGAGAGGCTGGCTCCGGTCGGCTCCTCGCTCGGCGAGCTCTGCGGTCGCGGAGGCGGGTGCGGAGGTATTTAAGGGGGGCTGCTCGCTCGGCGGCTGGCGGGGCCGGGCTCTGCGCGCCCCGGCCTCCCGGTGACCCCCTGCCCGCGGCTGGGATGCGCGGGGTCAGCGCGGAGGGCGGCGACTCGCGGCGGGGGCCCGGCTCTCGACGTAGCCGGGGGGAGAGACGGGGCGGAGCGGGCAGGGGGGCAGGAGGGAGGAAGGATGCTGAGGAAGAAGAGGATGACGAGGGCCAGGCTCTCTCATGCTGCCTGGCTGCTTTTTTCTTTTTTTTTTTTATTTTTTTTTCCCCCTCCCTCCCCCTTGCGAGCTGATTGGTTGCGGGAAATTTGGTGCCACCTCGGCTTGCCCTCGCCATTGGCTGCCCGCAATCTGCTGTTCGCTCCCCGCGGCGCGCACCCTGCGCGCCCCGCTCCGCGCGCGGTCCCGCGCCGCGCTCCGCGCCCGCCGGGGCGCGCCTGGCCCCCGAGAGCCCCTCGGTCCCCTCGTGAAACAAGGGGCTCCCGAGGGGTGAGGGACGTCAGGGAGCCCCGTTCCCCTTCCGCAGCTGGATGTGGGTTGCGGCGGCGGATTCAGCAAGAAACATCTGCTCTATTTTGGGGATCTCTCTGGGGAGCATTCCACACGTATATGCGTGTATAGAAATCACACATTTCTGCAAAGAAAAGCACCCCACAGGTTGCGTCCGGATAAGCATGTATGTCTACTGTGTAAATGTTCATCACGATATGCGCAAATAGTTTGGAAACTGCTGGGTGTAACATTTTATAAAGATTCCTGTCTGTTGTCCCCAGAGAACAGTGCCTTCAGCAGACGATGGAAGGAAAAAGTAGTAGCTCAGTTTGCCATCAGCTATTTTCCTTAACAACCTTCCCACTAGCCAGTAATGCCAGCAATATCCAGCCTCTATCCAAAATCCAAGCTGTATCCAAAATCCAAACTCTATCTCACAGAGACCTTCACCATTAAATGTGAAAACCAGGGCCCTTACAAATCAAACCTTCTCGGTGGCAGAGCCCAGAGGCAGCTCCCCTAACTCCACCGTGTGGTCACCGTGCCAGGCACCTTCAGTCATTTACGACCAAGGCTTAGGGTACCCTAATGCCATCACCCTGGCCAGGACCTCTTGTAGCTCCTTCCCCTACTCAATAGCGTGTCCCGTGTTCAGTTTCTGTCCCCTGCTGACACATGAGTCATTTTGGGAGTGGAGCAGTGAAAAGCCAAAGTGTGCCCATATCCTCTGACATATATCCTGTCTGGAGCTTTTCTGCAGTGATGGAGCTGACCACATGAGATGCAGACAGACTACCAAGATCTTGCAGAGTCCATCCCTGGGCTGATGCTGCTTATACATATTGTGGCTTATTTAGTGGCAGCTGTCAAAAGTGAGTTGCATTGTAATCACTGGAAGGGAAAAGTGACAATGAAAAATAATAGTAGCCCATTTGTTCTCCAGATTTAGAGGTGTCCAGCAAAGGGGAAAATATGTCCCTGCTTTTTCATTTCATGATGATGGATGAAGAAGTTTGTGAGGAGTATGTGTTTAAATTTGATATTAGGATCTTGAGTCGTGCCTACCTTTTGAGACACAATATTTAAACAGAGAGCCCAAATCAGAAGATATTCCTGGATGGTGAAAGTGGATATAAGTCAGGGAGGGACTTTCAACCATCTCTTTTAAGACTCTCCATTAAATGTTTGGTTAACAACTGAGGGGAAATCATGTTTAAATTAAAGATTCTACCTATTTTCTATGTGAGTGCTGACAGAACTACAAACTGAGCTAAAAACTACCCCAAGGAAACCCGACTCCTGCTATTTCCAAAAGAAAAAAAAAATTAGAAAGAAGGTGGTACTTGATGATTTTAAAGAGGTACTTTCCAGCTCATAGCACATGGAGAAAATAACCTCAATGTCATGAACCAGGGGCAGACCTGGAATTGCTACTGGTGGATGACAATGAGACTTTGGGGAATTCAAGGTTTGCAGTTTTGCAGATACTCAGCCCCACCAGAGCCTTTTCCTTTTCCACAGGTTTCTTTCCTCAGACATGGAGTACAACTATGAGACATTATACAGGGCAGCTGGACTTTTACCATCTAAAATCAATAACACATTTGGCTGCTCCCTCACAACATGAATACGTTTTCTGCATATTCCCCTGCTCAGTTAGTCTAGGGGGTGACCATCACAATTTTTTTACTGCATAGAGGAAAAGATGGATCTTGACCATCATTGGGGCTGTGCTCACCTGGCAGGTTTCAAGTGTTCTGTGCCAAGGAGAGTCCTGAGAAACGCTCTGCACATCTTGGCCAGCTTCTCCAGCTGCCATTTTCATCACCTTTGAAACCTGTTAATGCTCCTGAATTCAGGAGGCAACATGTTAATGCTCCTGAATTCAGGTTCAGGCATTGACACCTTGGTGAGGAAGTGGAGAGTGTGCAGCATGGTTTGCTTTTCCAGTGTTTGGATTGATGCAGATTTGGCCTTGCTGTCAAAAAGCTTTTTGGCCCTATGTGGGGTAGTGGCTTGGCCATGCTGTACCAGCCAGGCTCCCTCCTGTGGAGAGCTGCTGGCCATGCCAGTGGCCTGCACCCTGCACACCCCTGGCCCCACCACACAGTCCTTCCTCCCCATCTGAGTCCCAGCTGCAGACTTTGTCTCAGCTCTGCCGTTCAAAGGCTGGAGACAGAAGGGGGACACTGGGCAGCCCAGGTGGGAAAACAGAAATATTTATATAAACACAGCAGTACAGCTTAAATCAGGCTTTTCCTGCTCTAGTTTGTGTCTCTCCAGACAGGGAGAACTTCCCAGCTGAGCCTTCAGCAGGATGACATTGCTCGTGGTGTACACCAACACTGCTTCTCAAAGATTTGGCTTCAGCCATCGTCCTCGGGAAACTGATTCAATTTTTCTGCATCTGGTGACTGCTGCCCAGGGTCATAGGCTTTCTAAAAGAGCTGATGCAATGCCAGGACCATGGTGCATAGCAGCAATGAGCAGAGCCGTGTCATGGGCAGCACAGGCCATGAACTTCAGCACTGGATTTCTTTAGAATTACGTGGTCTAACGTAAGGCTGTTCCCACCTTCCTAAGACCTCCCCACAGATTCACGACTCAGCTGAGGCACTGGGCAAGTGAAAAATTCTTTCAGAATTCTTTTTGTCAGAGGGTCTCACAGTTATTCATCAAGACTGGGGACAACGAGGCACAAACCAGCAGTGAGTTTTACCACAAGACTGTATCAGTGAGCAGACACTTTAAAAGAAAGAACTGTCACATTCCTGTCTTGGGATGCACTAACCACACTGGTTTTGCTACCACAGTGCCAGAGTGCAGATAGAAACATCAAAACTAAGCTAAGGTTCTTTTACCATAGCACATTCCTTCCTATTCTCCCCTAAAAAACCCCAAAAAACCCAAAAAAAAATTTCCATTTAGCAGTAAGTTTTGCAAGGGGATTTCATCTGGTGTTGACATCTTGGAAATCTTATTGGATCTCCTCAGTTACCCCCCCCCCACCCACCCAAAACTATTGATGTGTTGAAAAAGCCATGTACACAAAAATGCTTGCTGGAAGGGCTTTGAAAGGTTTGTTTAATGTTGTTTATTTATCTTTAACAACATTCCCTGTCTCCCACTTTGTCTTCTATTTCACAGCTGGAAGTTGAAACAAGAAGAGGGGACTCAAGTAATGAGGAAATAAGCTGAAAACTGGGGAAAGAAATGAACCCTATGCCAAAAATAAAGGCTTGCATAAATTGATTTCCTGAAGAAGTATGAAGCTATTCCAGCTTTAGAGCTTTTTCTGGAGGTAGGGGAATCATGCCGTGGGTGCTTCATTCAAAGAGCAGTGCTGTGGTGGCTTTCCATCCTTTCACCAATGCTTTCTCTCCTCCTTACCCTCATAAAGAATCTGCTCCTCAAAGGGTCGAGCCCACTCTGCAGAGCAGATGAACACTAGCACCACTCACCACTGTTGCCAGCAGTCTCAGGTTAATGGTGTCTCTGGTTTTGACAAGTTGATTTTTGGGCACAGTTATGTGTTGCAGAGAAATAGGGTAGGGGACCATGGCTTCAGAATGGGTTGGGACAGGACCTGGCTCAGACTACAAGAGTTCACAGTTAATGCCTGCTTGAAGGATGATGGCAGATGCAGGTCTTTCTGAGTTGTGTGTTTCAGGAGTTCAGGTGCCAGGGATCAGGTGCCAGCTCGTGGGATCACCACCTTTGTTTGATGTTGTTTTCTCCCCATGCTTTCTTTTGGAAGGTGATGATTCTTTGTTATATTTTCACACGCTCTTCCTTGTCCAGGAGAGGTAGCAAATGGCTTTTATATTTGAAGTGGAAAGCTAAGAATTGTGTAGTCACCTGGCTCCAGACATAGTGACTTGAGGAGCCTGGTATCATGGCATTTACCTTAAGTGCTATTTATGTTTACAAGAACCAGCAGAATCCTGGTCACTTGTTTCTGTCCTCTTCCCCCCACTACACACACACCTTAAAACATCAACTGTTGCGCTATTAATTCAATGGTTTCCACAAATTCCTGAATATCCCCTGCTCCATCCTAACTCTTCAAGCATGGCTAAACTCAGTGTGGATTATCTTCTCCTCAGAAGAGTAACAATGGCCAAAACCCCAGCTGCCTTTGGAAGGGCAAGGGCTGGTAGAAGAAGCTGATGCTTACCTTGCCACCCTACTGATGCTGAGGGGAAATGTAGGGTTAAAGGGACTCAATAAAGTAGCTGAAATCACTCTGAGTCTCATTGCCAGGGTTAGAAGGGAATGCAAATGTAACTGGGGTGATGGCCATGGCTCCAGGCTATGGCCAGGATGGCTAGATTCCCTGCCATTGATGAGAGTTAGATAATGTTATCAGCATCAAGAATTAGGCTGATAACATGCAGATGACTAGGATAGGGTGCTTATCTCTGCACTTTGCTCCATCCCTTTCGTGTGACTCAATGCCACACACCCTGGCCACCCTCCTCCCCTCCTGTTACCCCAAACAGGCTTTGCTCCCAGTCCTCGGGCTGCCAGCAGCAAGAACCCAGCCGGTATTGTCTAAACAGGGCCATACAATGGGCAGCATTGTTGATACTGGATTTTTGCCCTCATTGAAGATGACCTCACAGCCCACCCCTGGCCACTTCAGCCAGCCCCTCGGGACTGTGAGGCTGTCTTTTGAACTCGGGTAAATAAATTGGGAGAGGAGGGGGAGAAAGGGATGGGGACCAGAGGAACACAGCGGTCTTTGTGCTGCCACCCTCTCTTCAGCACTGGTGCGCTCTGGTGTCCCTCTACCCACACCAGGCGCGGCAGGCCAGGTGCCAGTGAGCCGCATGCCGAGCCCCATCCGCACCCTCCGCCCTGCGCGGGCTCGCAGCGGCACCTCCGCACTTGGGCAGCCTCCCTTCTGCGGGCTGCAGCGCGCTCGGCCCATCTCAGCTGGCCTTTCCCCTCCTCCAGGCCTCCCGCGCCTTCCTCCCCACATCTGCAGCCTGCAGCTCCCGCCCCGCCCTTCTCTTCAGCCGCGACCGTCCCGCTGGGCGCCCGTGCCCTGCTGCCGGCCGGGGCGGCGCCGAGCGGGAGCTGCAGGAGCGGCACCTCCTGGCGCAGCTCTCCCGACCCAGCCGAGTGGCGTGGGCAGTGCCACAGTGCCCCGTGCTCCGTGGTGTCAGCCGGGCTCGGATGCGGCTCACACGTCCGCGACAGCCACTTGCGTCTGCAGGTGGATGCCCGGGCGTGTGGGGAGAGCGGCGATGCTGCGTGGCTGTGAGCGTGAGCCCTGGGGACACGTTGCCACATAGTCAGCACAGGGGGAGATTGCAGCACCGGGAATGGTGAGGGCACATCCAAGGTCAGTTTGCAGCTGCCTTTTGGGCAGAGCACAGTGTCCCCTGCCACTGTTTATCCTGTTTGTGTGCGTGCTCTGCATCATTGCTTTCTACCCTGTCTCCTTGCTGCAACAGCAGCCTGACCTTTTGATGACTGTCCCAACGTTTAGGAGAACAAAAATAGTTTACCAAAGTTAAAAATAACCTGGGGTCTAAAGATTTGGGAGGCGTCTCCCTTACATACTTGCTGGCTGAACCTTAGATATTCATTTTTACCCTGGAGAGGTTTCTGATAGAATCCTGTTAGGGGAAGAAGGCATACCCTGGCAGGAGACACTGGTGGGGCTGCCCTGAGAATGCATACATGCTGCTGGGATAGAAAGCAGGGAGGACAAAGGAGAAACTTGCTGGACACTCAACCCAAGCCTCCCTGCTCTAGGCTTATCAATGGCACACAGACAAAAACCTCGAAGATGGGGCGTGCCTCTCACTGTCTGCTGCTTCCAACTTTGTCTACATCCATACCTCAGTTGCTTTTAAAGTGAATATTTTCTTTCCTCTTGGACAACAGGACTAGAGCAGAGTCTTTGTACTCCTCCAGAAGCCAGCATCGCTTTTCTTCTTTTTGCTCTCTGCTT